CCCATACGTTCTTTTCCTTCCACAATAAAATCTTTTGGTTGTGCCATGTAAACATTTTCCTCCAAATTCCCGTTGAGGAATGCCGTCTTTACATCCATCTGATGTAGTTCTAAATCATAATGTGCTACAAGCATCATTATAATTCTAAAAGAATCCTTACATGAGACTGAAGAAAATGTCTCATTGTAATCTATGCCTTCTCTTTGCGTGAAGCCTTTCGCCACAAGTCACGCTTTAAATTTTTCTGCATTCCCTTTGGAGTCATATTTAGTTTTGTAGACCCATTTACAGCCTACTGTCTTGGCTCCTTTAGGAATTGTTTCTAAATCCCAAACATCGTTGGTACTCATTGATTTTATTTCATCTTGCATGGCTTCAAGCCACTCTGATGAGTGAGCGCCTCTCATGGCTTTTTCAAATGAGGTGGGATCACCCTCTATTTGAAATTCCTCACTTTCATATACGTCATAGTCATCAGCAATGGCTGATTTTCTGACTCTTTGGGACCTTCTAGGGGCCTCGTTAGTTGATGCTTGTTCTATATGAGGCTGTTGTTGCTCTTCCACTTGTGTGACAATGGGTTCTATGGGATCCTGAAGGACAGGTTCCTCATGTTCATTCATTGTTGTCACAGGAGAACTAACAACAGGTGCTATCACTATAGTGTCTAGCACTGTTGGTGCAGCAACAACAGGTAGCGTGAAGAATGGTTTATGAACCATCGGAGTAGGCACATGTACCCGCTTCTCCTCTAAGTTAATTTCTCGCGCTACCATGCTCCCCCTGATCATCTCTTCCTCCAAGAACACAGCATGTCTTATTTTTACAAACTTCGTATGTCTATCAAGATAATAGAAGCGGTAACCTTTTGACTTTTCTGGGTAACCAATGAAATGGCAGCTGACTGTCTTGGAGTCTAACTTCCCTATGTTTGGGTTAAAGACTTTAGCCTCAGCTGGACAACCCCACACACGTAAATGGTTAAGTGAGGGTTCTCTTTCTATCCACAACTCATACGGTGTTTTAGGCACCGACTTACTTGGCACTCGATTAAGAATATGAATGGCGGTTTTTAACGCCTCCATCCATAAACTTATCGGTAGAGTAGACTAACTTATCATACTTCTCACCATATCCATTAAGGTACGGTTGTGTCTTGCAGCTACTCTATTCTGTTGAGGCTCACCAGGTGTAGAGTACTAGGCAACTATGCCATTTTTGTGTAAGAACCTTGCAAAAGGTCCAGGAACTTGGCCATATGGGGTGTGTCGACCATAGTACTCCCCCCCCACGATCGGATTTTACTATCTTAATCTTTAAATTATGCTGATTTTCTACTTCAGCCTTAAATATCTTAAATTTATCCAATGCTTCTGTTCTTTCTCTAATTGGATAAATGTAACTATAACGAGAATAATCATATGTGAATGTTATAAATGAATCATAACCATCAACAGTCTTCATAGGAAAAGGACCACAGATGTCTGTGTGAATTATTTCTAAAATTCCTACGCTTTGTTTGGCATCTTTCTTTATTTTCCTAACATACTTTTCTTTTATGCAATCAATGTATTGTTCTAAATCTGAAAATTCTAATGGCGGAAGAATTGATTTCTTAATCAATCGCTCTATTCTTCCCCTCGAAATATGGCCTAAATGACAGTGCCATAATTTCGATGATACATCGTGAACTCTCTTCCGCTTATTACTTGCATTCATAGATGAAGAGGCATTCTCATTCTCAGTACTTACATCATTCACATTCTCAGAAAGTGATAATAAATAAAGCTTGTCTTGTCGGAAGGTAAGACCAACACACTTATTATTATAAACAATCTGACATTTGCCATTACCAAAATGGCAATCATATCCATCATCATCTAAACGTGAAACACTTATTAAGTTTCTTCGCAAAGAGGGTACATATAGAACATCAAAAAGCTTAAGTACAAAACCATCAACTAATTCTAGAGAGAGAGATCTCCAATGGCTTCAACTTCAGTTTCAACTACATTTGCTACTTTAATTCTTCTTTCTCCTCTTTGTAGGGTCCTCCTCGTATGGAATCCCTGTAATAAATTTGCAACATTAATAGTTGCACTTGAGTCAATCCACAAAGTAGATTTTGAATAACTTAAATACAAGGATTCATCTATGAATGTAATAAAGTTCTCACCTCTCTTCAAAAGGCTCTTCAGAAAATCTAGACAGTCCTTCTGGTAATGTCCATACTTCTTGCACCATTTGCATTGATCCTTGTCAACTTGGATATTGTTGTTCTTCTGAGGGTGATCATTCTGAGGGGATTTCTCTTGAGGTTTGGCATTCTTGTTGAAGTTTTTCTTTTTATAGTCCTTCACATGGTTAGCAGAGTCACCATGTGAGCTTTTAAGCCTTTCCTCCTCTTGCACACACATTGCAATGAGCTTCTCAATATTCTACTTATCGGGCTACATGTTGTAATTAACAACAAGAATTTCATATTCTTTAGGCAAAGAAGCAAAAACCAAATGAATCAAGAACTTATCTTTGAGCCCCAAATCCATTGGCTTGAGCTTGGATGCCGTGTTGCTCATCTTCAATATGTGCTCCCTTATGCCTCCACCAGAGTATTTCTCATTAAATAACTTCTTTATCAAGGTGCTTGCATAAGCCTTTGAAGAGCCAGTAAACTGACTCTCCACTTTCTTGAGATACTTTGTGGTGGTGTCATAATCTAGGATTGAGCCCTTTATTGCATCTGAAATAGTGGACTTGGCCGCCATCAAGCACTTGCGGTTCAAAATGTCACATTTCTTCCGATCAAGATCGTATTTCATTCTTACTTCTGCATGATCTCGCTTTCGAGCAGTGAAATCAGCATCAGTCTCATTCTCTGCCCTCACCAGGTCCTCTGGCTCAATAGGACATGGAGAGGTAAGTGCTAGGTCATTTTCGGACAGCGCAAGTGCTAGCTCATACTTCTCTCGCCATACTCAATAGTTGCCCCCCTCAAGAGGTGAAATGTGCAAGATGAATGCCATTGGGTTGAGTCCTGAAAACATCATCAGAGAAAGTGAGAAAACATGACATAATAATTGCATGAATTAATTTAACGTTGGTCAAAATTAAAACATATAACATTCTTCTACACTAATTCTACATCACCGTTGGGCAGAAATAGAATTAATGCATGAACTCATAAATAAAACATTTATAATATTGTTATCATCAACTTTGGTCAGAAAAATAACAATATCATAATTTACTGAAAATTATAACTACTCCTCAAAATTAAATCCTCCCGTTGGTTCGAATTTAATTAGAAGATCGTAAACATCATCATTTGCAGCGAAAACATGAAAGATAAATTTATCTACTTTTCAGAAGCATTTTACTGTACTTTTCTACTCTCTGAAAAAAAATTATTCCATTGGTTCAAATTTTGACAGAGATTGATCATCAAAACTTAGCGAAAATCATCAAATTGCTTCTGAAAATTAAATAAAACTTAAAACAGTAAATATTGTGCAGCGTGGCCCAGTGCGGCGCGGCAGCCCAGCAGTGCGCGCGGCCCAGCACAGCCCAGGCCCAACTCGCGCGCGCTCCCCGCGCCCAGGCCGCAATGCCCTTTGGCCCGAGCCTGAGGCGGAGACCGTGCGGTGGCGAGACCTCGCCTCCGGCGGTTCGCTTCCTGCACGCCGGCGAAACAACGACGCGGTCTACTTCCCGCACAACGGCGGTGGTTATAGAGGCGGAGGAGCCTTGGTGAGCCCCCCCTTCTCCGTTTTCTTCCTTAGGGTTAGGGTTTGGGTTTGACCAAAACAAAATTCGAATCACCTCCTTCTAATTTCTCTGAAACTTAAGCTACCCGGTACTAGATCTACCAACTAATAGGCATCTTTCTGATGCCATTGATAGAATGCATGATCATTAGGAGCATAGATCTAGCCGGTAGAATCTTTTCTAATCGGGATAAAAGTTGTAGTTCATTCTAGTACATGCAAAACTAGATGAACAAAGAGAGAGAGAAAGAGGGGTGCGGAGGTGAGACGTCACCGACCGTCGGAGGTTTGGCGGAGGAGCTGGAGCCATCCATGGCGATGTCGGTGATGCTGTGAAGTCCGGTGGTGCGGTCTAGCAGTGGCGCAGCGTCCCGACGGTGAAGACAGTGGCGGCTTCCTGTCACTCGTTGCGCACCCTCTAGATCGGACTAAGGTTAATATCGGTGGGGCGACTGTGGCTGTTCACGGTGAACCTCGTGACTCGAGCCGCCGGCCCCCACCTCTATATATATAGCGCAGTGTGATGGGGGCCCACCAACCATGTAGGTTGGGCGTCCCCGATCAGGGCAGGTCAAGGCCCAGCTCGGCCCAACGGCCAAGCTGAGAGATCACCACTAACATGGTTAACCAGAACAGGTCTATGGTGTGCCTTGATTCTTTTTCTGTATCGTATTAGTAGGGTATGTATGCTCTGCAACGGGAATCAATTACGGTAGTTGTTCAAACGTGAAGTCTTGTGCTTGAGAACTACTTCTAATGCAGTTTTTTTTTTAATGTTTGGAGCTCCATATGATTTGTTTCAAGTGATTTGGGTGGTTTGTGTTCTGGCAATGTAGGATTCTAGTGCTCATAGCAACGCCCTGGCATAAACGTGTAATGTAACCTGGTGAAGTGCTACAATCGCACAAAGAAATGGCGCTCATGGGCTAATACACATTTCCAAATTTAAACTATATATATTATTAGTATTATGGGATGGCACAGTCTTTGCCCGCCGACTGTATGGGATCACGAATCTTTGCCCGACGAGACTCAAGCCCCCGCTTGGATCGAAGAAGAAAGACGTCGGACGGTTGTGCTGTGCATGCCTGGGAGGTGATCTTTGTGCGCCCGCAGCGCGCCGGCCGCCGCCGAGGAATCATAAATAGACAGAGCAGCAAGCTGCAAAGGGCAGCCAGGAAGCAACCAGTCCAAGTTCGCCGGCCGCCAGCGTAATTGAAGCTTGAAGATCGGAGCATGGCAAGTCGCGGACTTCTGACGACGGTAGTAGTGCTGCTGCTGCTGCAGCATCAACCACTAGCCACCGCCGGCGGTGAAGCGGGGGCCACCGAAGAGCTCCAGTACCGTCGCCATCGCCGTTTCCATCACCACAGGGAGACGCCACAAACACCGACGGCGCCGGTACAACCGGTGCAGCCCGTGCAGCCACCGCCGCCACCACCGCCGCGTCGTTGCAACCGCACCTTCGGCCCGGAGGAAGCGCTGACGGTTGGCGGCGACGACTGCGTTCCAGTGCCGGCGCCGCCGGTGCCGCCTCCACGAGGCCGGTGCCCGCCCTGCACCTGCCCGGCCCCGAAGCAGCCGCAGCCGCAGCCGCCGCGCCCGTTCCCCGGCTGGCCCGTGCCACGGCCGTTGCCGGTTCCGGGCAGGGGCGGCAGCAACGCCCGCGCCGACAGCGGCACCAACATCGACTGCGTGGCGCCTCTGGCGCCACTGACGGCCTGCGGGGAGTTCGTCGCGGGGAACCAGACGGACACGCCGATGCCCACCAGCGCATGCTGCTCCGCCCTCGCGGCGTTCCTCCGCACGTCCAGCGCCGCGGCGGCTGCCGGACGCGGCGACCACATGCTGCGCTGCCTGTGCCCGGTCATCCACGGCGACGTGAACAAGGTACTGCGCAAGCCAAATGATCCTGTCCGCATGCTGTACTTGCCCATCGCCTGCGGCGTCGTCCTGCCACCGCAGCTGCTCTATATCTGCTTCGGTAAGTGTCCTCTGCCCCTGCTCTGCTCTCCTCCTGTCTCTTCCTCTGTTTTTCGGCTGACCGATTGCGGACGACGTTTGCATGCAGCTGGGCAGGGGCAGCCAACGCCGGCGGTGGACTGTCAGCCCTGACGTCTGGGAACAACCGATCTCTTCGATGCCGGGAAGGACGCCTACTTACTACTACTACATCAGTAAAATCGTGCTGTATGTCTGCATCTGTATGAAACTTGTCAAGCTACAGGAACTACATCAGTAAAATCGTACTGCTTTACGTTCAAGTCCACAGTGAACTTGTCAAGCTAATGGGTGAGGTTTGAGCCGCTGGAGTCCTTCATCCATTGTGAAGTTGTGTCAATGCCATCCGCGGTGATTAGATCCTAAATCCACTTTCGCGGACGTTCACTCAAAACCAACCCAGCGAAAGATTCTTCTCTGACACACTTAAAAAAAAAGCAAAACATTTATTCCAAATTGCTATTACTTTTGAATGGTGTATCAGTTTTTAATTCCGCCCGCACCCCTATGTTTTACGCGACGAGGCAAACAAAACTAGATTCCACTTGCATATATTTTGAAGAATTTTTTCTAATAGCAATTTATGTATATTAACTTATAACTTACAACTTACGGACACAAGTTATATCGAATAACTTATGTACACAAGTTGTATAGAGTAACTGATAAACATAAGTTTTGTTTGATTACTTTTGTACATAAGTTGTGTTTTCATTACTTTTGTATTTCTAAGTTTTGGTATAAGTTATAAGTTAATTCGTTCCTTTGTGTGTTAATAACTTTTGTATTTATAAGTTTTGGCACAAGTTATAAGTTAATTCGTTCATTTGTATTTAATAACTTTTTTTTTGTAAATAAGTTATGTTTCGTAACTTCAATTTTCAAGTTTTTCATGTAAGTTATAGGTTATAAGTTATACGTTATAAGTTATATGTTATAAGTCAGTACACATAAATTGCTACTAAAAAAATCTTCGAAACATATGCAAGTGAGGTCTTGTTTTGTTCGTCTCGTCACATAAACGGAATTAAAAACGGATACACTGTTTAGATGTTAAAGCAATTTGAAAAAAAAAATGTTTTGCTTTTTTTCGCCTATGTCAGCGCTGGCGTCAGCATGCAAGGGGTGAACGTGTGCGCAGCCGAGCAGCCAAAAGAGAATGAGCACGCTGCGCCATCTATAATAGGAAAGGGGTGGAATTATATCTTTTCCAAAAATGTAAAGGGATGCATGTCGGAAATTCGTTCGCTAGATTCAATTCCAATGGACGTTCGCCATTTAGTGTGCCTGGTGATTAGATCCCCATCCACCCTATTTCACATGCACAAATACATGTACACCTAGCTCTGCCAGTGTGACCTCACAGATACTCTTGTGGCCATCAGAACCCTTTTCACTGGCCTAATCGATGATAAATTAAAGCTCATGGACGTATTTGCAGCGGAGTCGCTAATGAAGCTACATATGTAGGGTACAAATTTTAGCTGAACTCAAGGGCATTAACAAAATACAAAGTTCCCCTAAAACAGAGTATTCTATTTTACTGCAAATATGAAATAGTGACCGACCATCCTTCAATCATCAATTGTTTCTACAGATTCAAGGGTTCTCCAAACTCCTGTGTGTTTTTAAGTTATCACTTATTGTTTGGCTCTAACGAACTTAAAAATACATCACATATAAGTTACCACTAAGAAAAATTGACAAGAGCAAACTGATGGAGGGGGAAACCTCTAACGAACCTATACATTGTATAGGAAGACTTTGTACATCCTCTGGACATTTCCTCTGGTGAACCTATCCTTTCACCAACTCATATCAATACACCTTATATACAAATTTTGTATTGCTTAATGACAAAAAAAGCAATTTGCACACCTGAGAGAAGCAATCAAAACAACAACATTAGAAAATTCCAATATATTAACAGTAGTATCCCTGTCAACCAACATAAAAAAAAACTTTGCACCTTTTAAAGAAAATTAAACGGCCAGCTATTTTCATGTAGTTATCATAAGAGATATTGCACAAGGATCCAGGCGTAGACATTTCAAATATTTTCAAGAACAACATGATCTAGAGTTTAACTTAATAATGCTATACTAATGGTGACTGACCAGCTGACTCCTGCGCAATCTAATTTCCCCTGTCAGCTTATCTGAAAGGATATGCACATATGGATTCCTTAAAAATTCACTAACATTAAGATAAAGGTTTTGGGGGTGGTGATGTCAATGCCATAATGAAAGGCTGTGAACACTGCCTGTGGGAAATACCAATGACAAATGGATGAGATTGTTATGAGGATTTAATTGAAGTTGCTAGATTTAGATTCCTCTGTCTGAACAAGCTTATCAAGAATATCAAAGAATGCAAGATTACATTAAAAAATATACAGGTTCAACAAGATACAAAAGACTCTTGGCACTATATTTGGGGAAGCAGCATACATCTTCTAAATTCTACAAAATCTCCTACAGAAATGTTCAACCCCCTGCTCCTTTTCTGTGGATTTGGGACTCAAAATCCAGTAACAAACTTAAAGTCTTCTCCTAGCTCATGATTATGGATAGGCTAAACACAAGGAACCTTCTTAAAAGGAAAAAGCACAAGTTGGAGGGCAATAACTATAACTGCATTCTCTGCAATCAGAATATTGAGTAAACTGCTTTCCACCTCTTCTTCAGCTGTCCATGCAGTAAGGCCTGCTGGCAACACTTGAATATGCACTGAAACTTTCAAAGTGATTTCTTCCAAATGATGATGCAGTCGAAACAGCAATACCAAAATCCCTTCTCCATGGTGACATTCATCATTGCTGCTGCCACATATGGAAGCAGCGAAATAACTTTATATTTGACAGAGGACAGCCCTCCTTCTCCTCCTGGAAATGCTCGTTCTTTGATGAGGCTAAACTTCAAGCTCTTAGAATGTCTGAAGACAAGCGCTCTGCTTTCCTCCTTTGACTCCTTTTCTTAGTTCTTAGCTGACCAGTGGCTTCCTCAGCCTCTTGGGTCGTTTTTATTTTTGTTGTGCTCTCTTTGTACAGTTTTTTGCTTTTCTTTTTAATAAAATCTCACGGTCTCCACTGCTGTACTTTCGCTAAAAAAATTTTCATAAAAGCAACTAAGAAGAATGGACCAGCTTACCAATTGATAGAGCATGTTGTTCTCTGGAATTGAAAACTGAAGCAGTAGCAGGAAATTGCATGTTCAGTTACCTGCCATTCTTCTTAGCCCCTTTTTGCTTTACCAGGAGCGATCTAATATTTTCAGACCTATAATTATTCCAAAAGTTGAAAATTGTGAGTTACCTAGGCAACAAAGGGGCCCAGAGAAGGCTTCAGAGATTGGAAGGTGATGTACAAGAGTTAATAGAGAGACTTTGTAAATCCAATTTATAATTGGTAATAAAATGCATAACAAAACAACAAGTCCCCATGGAGAGCAGAGGAAGCCGCAACGTGATACAAATCTGATAAAGAACAGAACACAGTTAAGGAAAAGAACAAAAAAGCAAACATCCATCATGCAGAGAGCAGCTTCTGTCTCACCTTCTGAAGCAGAATAATGCTATACCACTCCAGATGATCCAGAGTAGTATTTAGAGCCAAAGGGCAAATGTTTTTTTAAAGGAGGTTAAAAATACAATAAGTGACGGTTCTCTCTTCTACAGATAAGAGTAATAGTGATTGTGTTAGGAGTTGATCTCCTACAGCAACTAAGGATGAAAACGGTCGAACTCTGTCGAAAAACTCCTCAACCGCTTTTCTACTTTTACATTTGAAATACTGAAAAGCGAAAGCGAAAGCGCATGTTTTGACACGAAAACGAACACGAACTTACGGAATATCTAGAATTTCGGAAACGAACTAATTCGAAGCGGAATTATGTCGAACACGGTCGGTATGCGAAAATTCAATACGACTAGCAGCACTAAAAGCAGACTCGGATGCTACTGTTGATACTTAGCAATTCTTTGTGCAAATCTAACTAAAGTATTTCCCTGTGTACATCTCCCATGTGTACCTAGCAATTCTCAAGTGCTACAGCAGCTGACGTGTGGGGCCAGTCAATGATCAGGGCTGACTTGCACTATGCCATACACCGATCTGTGCACTCGCCCTATGTCCCTTGGTTCCATGTGGGCCGGGTGTATGGAGGTAGGAGGATGGGAGCAGAGCCACTATCATGCGGGGCCCACGGGGTGAGATGGCGAGCCCTCACTGGCCAAGGCGACGTGGACGGCTCCCTCGGATTCCATCGCCTAGCGGTCCGTCATCATCTCCCCACCACACGGTCAACGAAGGAAGAAACAGAGAGGAGCGATAGAGAGAGAGGGAGAGAGGGAAGGAGACAGAGTGAGCCGGGCGAGGCGGAGAGAGAGCGCCTGCCGTCGGTGCTGGCGGCGGCGGCAGAGGGCGTCCTCAGCTTCTCGCGCAACAAGAGCAGAGAGACGGAGGGAGTTGGGCGCCGGTGAAGTCTGCTCTCGGCGGCGCTGGGTGGAAAGCAAGGCAGGGCAGCGGCAGCGCACAGTGCAGGGGAAAGGGGAGCGGAGCAGAGGGGAGCGGGTGGCGGTGGCGCGGCGCTCCGGCAGCGGGCAGCACGGCAACGGCGGGTGGAAGCAGAGGCAGGGGAAGAGGAAGGGTGAGCTCTCGGTGGTGCGTTGCGAGCGGCGGCAGCGGCGAGCTCCCGAGGGTGACCTTCGTTTGCTGGACCAAATTCGGTTCGAACCGAATTTAGAATACGGAAGACTCCGAATAAAATGTATAAAACTAGAAATCGGTCGAACAAAGCCTAAACCGAATTCGATCCGATTTCGAATTTAGTATTCCGTATTTTGTCCGAAAATATGAATTCGCTCGGGTCAAATGTAGAAAACGATGCGGTTCGGTTCGGAATATTTCCTTTCCGTTTTCATCCTTAACTGCAACTATTAGATAAAAGAATGAGGGGATTGAAGAAAATAAAAAAATGAATAAATACCATGCATCTTTTTATCCGAATAAAATGGGCCATACACCTCAGGGTTTGATAACACAGCAACAAAAGGCAAATAGCCGAAGGCCAGTTGGTAGCTCACAAATTTGGATAGTCAAATTTTTGAGAGAAATA